TCCAGCTATTTACCTACAGCCGAATGACAAGAGGTAAATGTACAGTAACAGCTCTACAATAAGAAAGTAATTCCTACCTTCAAAATGCTAAGAAATTGCACGCTTAAATTTTGTAATAATAAGTTTGATGCATTTCTAACATAAAGACATAAAACGTGTATTTGAATTTTGGGGTCTTACTGTGAAAACTGAGCAATTTATCATGAGTTTTAAGATTCCTGCACTTTCTCTGACACAATTATTTTGGGTTGCTAGAAACAAAAGTACCAATAGCTAATTATTTCCCTCAACCATGTATTCAACAATTCATTTATTACCTAAATACCTACTACCTAAAGGACAGTCAAAATCAAGCAGGCTTCCCTCTGTGCTCCCACAACTTCATGTGCATTCACAAAGGGCCACACTTCATAACCTTGGACTTCACCTCTCAGAAATTGTCATATTGGGATAAGAGTTCTACTTCATAAGGTTCTTGTGGAAAACCACATGTTACTATATTAGAGCACTTAGAACAGAATCTGGTAAATAGGAAGCTGCGTATTGTTATTATTGTTAGTATTACTAGATACCACTTATCAAGTAGTATCATAAAAGTATTTGTTTTAACATCTGTCTTACTCATCCACTACACCGTCAACACACACATTAAAAATCATGTAAGGTTTTTATCCTCTATGTAGGTTAAAGGCCTGATATAACTGGGGCTTAATAGACATCGGTTGGGTTCATGATGAAGTCCATGGATAATTGAATAAAAGTCATTAGGCACTTGGGGATACAAATGTAAATAAAGCACAGGGCCTTTACCTAGGGGAGATGAAGGACATGTACACAGTGAAAAATAATGCAAGTCTAACAGTGGGAAAAATTAAAACAGAGAGGTCAACCAAGCACCATGGACAACAAAAGGCAAAATAATTAATTCTGACTCAGAATACCAGAGGTGCTTCACAATTATGGTGAACAAAGATGTCTCCTTTCACAAAGCCAGAGTCGCCCCTGAAAAGCAATGTAATAAGAAAGCATTTGTCTATATTTGAACTCACCTATGACCCAGAAATGTATTCAATTAAAAAATTCATTTTTCACTATGTCTCATAGAAAATACTCCAAAGCTCTGCAGATCTTTTTTATTTTCTAGCTTCTAAACCTGGTCTAAACAAAATTTGTTGCAATGCTGAAGACAACGGAAAAGTATAATGATGCAAAACCCTAGCACCCAAAATGTTTATTTCTTTCATTCAGATTTCCTAGTAGTTCCTTACATCAATTTAACATGAGTTCATTTTTTCCCTTAATCCACCAGTAGGAGCAGAAAAAAAGAATATGAGGGCTATTTTAGAAATGGAGAGGGATAAAAAAAATAAGGGACCCCTAGATACCAATCTGTCTACCACTGAGTATGTCCTCGAGCAAAAATTAAATTTAAAGAGACAAAGTCCAATCCCTGCTTAGGACTGGAATAAAAATGGAAAGAGACTTAGAGCAACCAAACAATGCACGTTCCTGCATGAACTACATCAGTTCAACCTCAAAAGGCTATTAGACTAAATAGCTTAAAGACCACTGATTAGTGAATTTATAAGGAGCTCTAAACAGCCTATTCCTTTTAATTAGAGATTCCATTATTTTAATAACAATACTTTATACTCACATAGGGCCTTTCATCTACAGAGCTCAAAAGGATTTCATAAGTGTGGTTTCATCATTATCCCCATTTCAGAGATTGGAAAATAAAGGGCACTTAGTCACTTGTACAAACAAGAAGTTCTCAGACAACTGTTCAAAAACTATTTGGTGTGCGTGTTTTTCAAAAGTGGCAAGACACAGCTGCAACTGCTTCATCTCAGAAATGCCAACTGACAGGTATGACTTGTAAAGTGAATGGCTAAGTCTCTTGAAATTCAGCTCTTCTTGACAAGTAAGTTCAATAACGTTTGGGTCCAATTTAAACCCGCAAAGAATAGAGAAGTTCTCTAGAGAATTTGAGCATGTAATTTTTCCCCTTCAGAGTCTGCTTTTATTTTAATTAAATAGGCTAAAATCTTTTACCAACTTTGAGATCATAGAAACTATTGTGTGTTAACTTTTTTTCTTAAATTTTTTGTGGTAAGAACACAACATGAGATCTACTCTCTTAACACATTTTAGGGCTACAGTATGTTATAGTAGGTACAAAGTTATAAAGAACTGTTGAACTTATCTTGCTCAATCTCATTAATTTTGATACCTCATATAAGTGGAACCATTCAATATTTGCCTTTCTGTGACTAACTTATTTCCTTAGCATAATGTGCTCCAGGTTCACCCATGTTGTTACATATTGCGGAATTTCCTTCCTTTAATTCAGGCTAAATAGCATTCAATTGCACATATATAACACATGTCTAGGATGTGAAGAAATTGGAAATCTTGTGCATTATTGAAGGGAATGCAAAATGGTGCAACTGTACAGAAAACAGTATGAGGGTGTCTCGCAAATTTAAAAATAGAACTGTCATATGATCTGAAATTCCCACTTTTGGATATTTACCCAAAGGAATTGAAATCAGGCTCCCGAAGACATATTAGCATCCCCATGTTCATTGCTGCACTATTCCCAATATCCAAGATGTGGAAATAACCTAAATGTCCAGCAACAGATGGATGATGTGTTTATTTTTCCATTGATTTAACAAAGTTCAAGGTCATCAATAGTCTGTTTGCTGGAAGCTAATCTACACCCCTTCTATAAATCCATGAATTTTGGGTGACCCCAGAAGAATCGCAGGGGTCCTATTTGCGAAGTAATTATGAGGCTACCAGAGAAGAGGGCTCTGGAGCATGCAAGATCAGGTTTAAATTCTGAAGACTGGCTCCTAAACCATGAAAAAGCTACCCTAGGAAGGCAAGCAACTCACTCTCTAGGGAGAATACAGTGAAAGACATGTGTCATGCTTTGGGACATAGGACATACCCCAGTGATTACTGTGTATACTAAATAACTTTCCTGCTCAGTCACTAGGGACTTGGTCTGGTACCCTGATACCCAAAGGAAAAGACCATCTAGCTGACATTAATGGAGCCATGCAAAGTGGGGGTGGAAAGAACTATGGTCACAAAAGAGTCTGGACAGATCAAACCAGGGAGGATGGGGGTGAGCCATAACCAGTAGGAGGTGCCTCGGAAGCAACCGTGGCTTTGGCTGGAGTTGGAGATCGTGCACCCTGAGAAATCCCTGCTTCCTTTGACTGGCTTATGGATGCTTATAACCTGGACTTACAAAACAGGCCCTCTTTCTGGTCCTTGCCTCTTAGGTATATTTATCCTCCTCAGAGCAGGGGAGACCTTTTTTAATGTCTCAAATACACGTCACTGTGACCCTGAGTAACTGCCACTTCTAGAATAATATTTATAAGCATCCCCTCAGGAAAGGGGGATTACAGTTATCCCTCTATTCTGCTATTCTCTATTTTTTTTCCATCCCCACCTTTAAAAAAAAGAAAAAAAATTGTTACCCAGGTCAAAAAGATAAAGTAGACGGTGTTAAGATGAGTTAATAGTTATATTTGATTTCCTAATACCTTCCATCTTAAGATTCCGTAATATGGAGATTTCCAACCTTTGTACTTTGTGGTACCCTAACATTGATTGACCTGGAAATCAATGTTCTGAAAGAATTTTTGAGTCATGGACAAAGAAGTTACTGCATTGTGTGGTCTCCAATTGCACAAGTAATATGAAACCTGCTGCTTCTCATTAGACTGAAAAGCCAAGAGGACCTACGCGATAATGTCTATAGAAGCTAATGCTCAATGAACATATAAAAAAATGAATAGTATGTAATTCAATATGCTATTAAAAACTTCTTGTTGCAATCAATACTCATGGCAAACCTAGCGGTTCCTTTGAATCACAGAAATAACAATACGACTACAAAAGGATTATGAAGACAGAATTATTTTTAAAGTTTAGAAAAACTAACGCCACCCCTTCACGAACATCACAACCCTTCGCACATCTCCTTAGTTTCCTTTTCATACCTTTAACACAGCTCAGCTATCTGCATTTTCCCAGATTCCTGGATCATACAAGGACATTAAAAAAGACATAATTTAAAAAGGAAAAGCTCTTATGCAGCTGGGCACTGTAGAACAGTGTCCAAGGGCCTTGCTGAAGCGGTCACATTTTCTCATGCTTCCGATGCCCTGACGGTCTCAGATTTGTCGCCGCTGAGTGTGGCCACTGCGCACGGCGGGGAGCCCTGCTGAAGAGGCCCGGAGGAGGCTCAGAAGAGCCAGAGGGATGCGAACGGCGTACAGATTTCAAAGAAATGGGTAACAAGAGAGACTGAGACCGAAAAGAGGGACAGTGAGAAAATCCAAAATGCCCCCATCAAACCCACGTAAGAGTGAAAAAAGCCGTTGTTTTCTAATAACAATCCTCCCTTCCCAGATCACTGAGAGAGCTTTGCCCAGCCACACCGCTCCAACACGGACAGAGTTACGACCCAGGCATAACCCTCATCCTGCCTTAGACCTGTTCAAATCCTTAGAAACTCTGCCACTAGGACTACAGAACACCTGCCTTCGACGCCTGTCTTCTAGATGCCAACCTCACCCACCGCCCTCTTCAACAAGTGCAAACCCATTTCAGGAGAGGGCATTGAATCCATCGTGAGAGGACTTGCTCTAGGTTTCAAAGCTGACTCGCGAGCTCTTCAGCTTCCAACAGACAAGCCAATGATATGTTGGCATGAGTTCATATAGCCAGGCTTGGCCTGCATACTGTTTATTTAGATTCCATAACTACATGCACTAAGAGGGTATGAAGACTATAACCAAGACATCAGCCTTACTTAATTTGCCGCCTACGAGAAACAAACTCGGTTCGCCTTTCAAAGCCTAGTCTGACAGCCTCGGGAGTCTCATCTCCTCCTCAGGAGGGGCCCCTTTCCCAGCAGGGCCCTCCCCATTAAGTGTGCAGCCGTCCAGTTCTCCCCAGAGTGTCTCCCTCACCTGTGCACTTGCAGGTCCGGTTGAAGAACTTCCGGGGCCACAATTCTCGGTCATCCTGGTTTCTCAGGATGTAAGGACCACTCCAGGGCCTGGTGTCGGCTGGCACCTCTGTGCACTGGCCACGGCCCTCCCGAGAGCCACAGACGTTGGCCGGCTCCCCACCCAACGGCGGGCAGCACTCCTTGGATACCAGGCTGTCCACCGTCATGCAGACCCGGGGGAACTGCGCCCAGGCTCCGGGCAGGACTGCACAGCCCAGGCAACCGAGCAGAAGCCCCCACCGAAGGGGGCCCATGGCTTTAGAATCGGGAGAACTTTCTCTCACTTCCCACTCCTTCTATACCGCTTTCTTCTTGTCTTCCACTCGAGCTCTTGCGCATTCACTCGGTTTTAGATTTTTGGTTTTTGATTTTTTTCTTGTATATTCTTGTTCTGTGGTCTGTTCCTCTTCTCGTTAAAAAATACCCACAAAATCACAGAGCCCACGCGTGTGCACGTGTGTACACGCAGAGACTATTTTATGTGATCCCAACAACTACAACACATTTAATTTTATTAGAAGCGTCTCTAACAGGCAGACTTAATGAGGGTAGCGCTTCTCACCATCTTCTCCCCATTAAATCCGGCTTTGTCTAATTGAGTTAATTTGCAGAGCACTCTAGTCATACTACTTGCTATGCCGGTATTTCTAAACCCCCTCCTTTTCTCCTCAGCCCATGACTTTAATTGCCTTGAACTCAGTTCAAAAGCCAAGCACCAGGCTGCCTTTATTCTGTCTGGAGTGCCAAGCCACAGGGCCTCGTGGGGCTTGTGTGAGGGCTGGGAGAAGCCATCATTAGGGGGATTAGTGTTAGAGAAATCCTCACGCTTAACACATGACCCAAAGTGCACAATGAAGGAGATAAAGTTTCTGGCTTTGTTTCAAGAGGGTAAAACCATCTTCATTATCTGGGCTCATGTGCTCCAGCCAAGCTTGTGACCTCAGACTTCCCAGGGAGTCAATGGAGGCAGTGAGCTCGTTGTCAAAGGCCCTTTACAGACGAGCACGCATTGCTAAGGACAATTCACTCCTGACTGCTCCCTGACGGGCTAGGGAGACCACTACCGCAGGTCACACTACTTCAGAAATAAAGAAACATTTATTTAGGGCTGACATACAAGGAACAGCTTTGTTCCACCATTAGGGACCCTCTTCCCTCCAAATAATAACATGCTATTCTCCTATTCAGCACATCCAGCCTGCGGGGCGTTTTTGTAATTACATGAAGTACCCCGCCACCAGGAATTCAAAATCGTCGTTATCTACTTGTAAGGAAGGCAGTGAAACAATTTGGAACAAGGGCTGGCAAGTGATGCCTTTTGATTTATGGTCAAGTTAAGTGTTGTCGATCTAGAAAGGAATGCTTCCGCTAGTGCCCCTGGGGTAGTGAGGTGAGAACCCATTTACCCTGTTAGGTGGCACAAGACTGAGCCCCAACAGCGTCTGCACACACTGCTGACGTCAAACTGGCCCAAGCGGTTCCTCAGCACACTTAGTATCAGGGCACAAAGACACAGAATGGTATTTCCAAAGTGATTTCCCAAGGTTAAACCATTTTGATATAGCTGTTCCTGTCCCACATACGTCTGTGTCATCCCATGATCCATATCGTGACAAAATAAATGACAGTTTTCAACTCTGACTGTATGCCAAAGCCAGCCTGTGCCCCAATCCCAGGGAAGCCAAATCTCCAAGGGTGGAAGCCAGACCTCGGCCTGTTTTACAGGTTCTCTAGGCCCCTCTAACATACAGAGTTGACTATCGTTGGGTCAGAATGAAACACAGCTCCAGGGGAAATGGTGGAAGAGAGTCAGCTTAAAGATCCCACGCATGGGAGTTTCCCCAGGCCACCCTAACAAACTACCACAGTCTGGGTGGCCTAAATGACAGTTCTGAAGGCCAGAAATCCAAACTCGATGTGTCTGTGGGGCTGCGCTCTCTCCAAAGACTCTGGAGGAGTATTCTTCTTGCCCCTTCCAGCTTCCGGGGCTGCCACCATTCCTCGGTGTCCTTGATTGGAGGTGGCATCACTCCAATCTCTACCATAGTCACGTGGCCTCCTCCTGCTCTGTCTGTGTCTCTCCTCTGTGTGTCTCTTATAAAGATACGTGTCATTGGATTGAGGGCCTAGCTGGATAATCCAGGATGATCTCCTCTTGAGATCTTATATTCACAAAGATCTTTTTATCAAATAAGGTCTCCTCCACAGTTTCTCAGGCATGGAACGGCTTCTTGGAGGCAGCTAGTCAACCTACTATGTCATGGTTATGAAACTTGGATAATACTAGAAGTTCAGTATTCGGAATTGGAAGGGTGCTTTGGAGCTCATTCACTCATCCCATGTGTATTTATTAACTTCTTTTATGCCAACCTTGTGATACTTTGGGATTTAGCTCTATGTTTTGTGATGATCTAGTTCCGTAAACATTCAATGAAGAGGTCAAAGATACGGACATTGATGGAGTCAACAACTCTCATGTCAGAATGCCCCGGGTCCAAGTCTTGCTAACAACATAACAACACTTGCTAAATAACTCACCCAGTTTGTGGCTTTAAATTCAGGCTGTCATAACTCCCCAAATTACAGTACTGACCCTGACCTCGGCTATGAACCTCAGATGCTTATATCTAACTTCCTGCTTGACCTCCCATGTGGAGGCCTAGACACTTCTCACTTTACCTGTTCAAAGCAGAACCCTTGCCCTCTTCTCCGAGATCTGTTCTTCCATTAGCCATCTCCATCTCAGCACAGAGGGCCACCACAGTCCTCTAATTGGTCCTTGATTCTTCTCCTTCCCACCACCCCTGCGTATGCTTCCCACTGCATGTAGAGTAGAAGCCAAGGTCCTTTCCACACCCTACTCAATGTGTGGTCCACGGGCCCAATATGCATGTGTTCCTGGTCTGCATCAAGGTACGTACAATAAGGAAAGAAAGTGAAAACCAGAATTTAGATACTGTCATTGCAATTTGACATTGCCACAATGTCAAGCACATGATTAGTGAACTCATCCCATGGAAGACGGGGTCTATTTGGGGTTGGGGGCGTGTCAAACTTGCATGGCGATGACGCTGCAAACTAGTCATGTTGGATCCCATATTGGCCTGTAGCTGAAATTTTTTTTAAAGGTCTTTACCATCGATAGTTTGAGAAGAATTGGCATTCCAGATCCTTCACGATCTGTCCCTCGCCCACTCCTCTCTCCCTCTTGCTCTGCAGGAGCAGAATGCAACCGTCACTCTGTCCCTCACACGTGTGTTCATTTCCTGTGTGGCCTTGCCCTGCCACATCCTCTGCCTGCAGTTCTCATGCTCAGAATCCTCCTGGCCACTCCGGTCTCATCTCAAATGTGAACTCCTAAGAGAGGGGGTCCCAGAACACTCCCTTGACTAGGTCTACCCGCAGCCACCTGCTTTCCACTGCCTGGCATGGTTTGTTCTTCATAGCGCCTATCACTATTTAAGATTTTCTTATTTATTGGATTAGTTGTTGACTGCCTGTCTCCTCTACTCAGCTTCATCCAATAGAGCAAGATACTTAATCTTGTGGTCTTTCCAATGCCAAAGAGTATCTAGTTGACAACTGATGAGTAAATGTTTCCAATTCTCAAATCTTTATGTTCATCAGAAAAGACTTACCATTATAGTGATTGGCTTTATACAAATTAAATGTTATTCATGTAACTACATAAAATCAATTCAGACTAATAAACACCACTGTTACATTAAGGGTTCCTTTTAGGAGGTTGTTGCATTACTAAAAATGTTTAAAAACCACGGGCCCCACATCCCCAACAATAACAAGTTTCCTCCTCATTATTTCTCACAAGGTATCACCAGTCTACTTAAAACACCTCTGGTAACGAGGTTCCTTCAAGGAATAATTCTAAGGGTGAGTAAAATTCTTTCTTTTAAATAAGTATTTAATATTTAACACAATGTGAATGTAAATGTAAATATAAATATCGAGTGAAAATTTCACCCACCAATGCTTTCATCGGAAACGTCTGTAACCCGCTTAGAATGGGTGCAGTCCATTTTCTATAGAATTTTTCTCCCCTATCTCCTCTTCTTTTAAACAAAATTTCCTCAATTCCTTTTATTTTTTTTTTTTCCTTCATTTGACCTACTTCTAACTCCTCTTATCAACCTGGTCACTCCTTTTCAGGAGAATTTCATTTGCTCTTTGATGAGTGCATCCTAGAATTGAGTGTAATGTTCCTAAGTAAAGACGGCTAAAAAAAATTGGCTCGTGAGCTTTGCTTAGCAGCCACGTTGATTTTGCGTCTGTTAGCTTCAGCTAAGTCATGCTGCAGTGAAGGTCTCAGAATTTCACTGGCTTATGAAACAGACGTTCAGTTACACGTCAGCCAAAGCTATGCCCCACCGCGCCTTCACGCCAGGACTCAGGGTAGGAGCACCTCTCCACTCCCTTCCTGATATTGCTCATCTTGTGGCGAAGAAGGCGATGACAACCGCTTAACAGGGGTCCACCTTGCTCGCTTCTGCAAAAGCAAGTCTCGTGGTCAAGACCTCTGCTCTCAGAAACGAGGGCTCTGTACGGAAGACCCCCTACAGGGAGGGTCAGCAAGTATTTTATTTTTACTGCATTTAAAATGAACTTAGATTCCTATGTCTCTTTCATGCGGCTTTCACACAGCAGCTCTAAAGTCAAACGCTTCTCCTATCTCCATCCCCTGTTCTTTTCTTATGGAATCTTCCTTTGGGATCTGTATTAGTGTGCTCCAGTTACCACAATAAACAGAAATTTTCCTCACAGTTCTGGAGGCTAAAAGTCCAAGGTTAAGGTGTCAGCCGTTTTAGTTTCTACTGAGGCCTCCCACCTTGGCTGATAGACTAATGAACACCGCTGTTACGTCGGCTGTCCTCTTGCTCCCTCTTCACGTGGTCTTCCCTCTGTGTCTGCTGGTGTGTCCGAATTTCCCCTGTTTATAAGGACAGCAGACATACTGGTTTAGGCTCACCCTAAGAGCCTCATTTACATGTAATCACCTCTTTAAAGGCCCTATCTCCACAAACAGTCATATTCCGGGTGTTCGGGGCTCAACATACGAATTTTGGGAGAACATGATTCAGCCCATAACAGTCTCTAAATGTAAGAGTTCACTTTTGCTTCTATTAAATATTGTTGTATTAAATTGGTGTGCCAAACAATGTGATTTCTCCCTTTCTGGCCTTAGTCTTATCCACATGTTTGGTTGGCCTTTTCTTCAGAACCCAACTCGTTGATGAAA